TTAATAATTCTCTTCTCAAAAAAGGAATTAATGAGTCAGATCAGTGAGGGATTTCACTCTTTCCAACTAAAATTATCTTATATAATCATTTCCTCTGACCAGCATATTAAATAAATTCTTAGGCTTGTTTCCAATGGTGAATAATTAGATCTCTTATCTTAGTGGTTCATTAACCTCACAACTTAACCCTACAGGGAAAAAGTGTCCCCACTGAAGAAATAAAAATCCTAAGGCTACCAAGCTATTCAAAAGGCTGAGGTAAGAGGATTACTTGAGCTCAGGAGCTTAAGACCAGCTGGGCAACATAGCAAGACCCTGTCTCAAAAAACCAAAAACAAACAAACAAAACAAAACAAAACAAAAAACCAGCCCCCCTATATGCTAAGGCCCAAGGTAACCTCTGAGAGGTGGTGGTTGAGCAAGGAACAGAAGATAGACTATTTGGTCCTTGTTCTATTGCCTCAGATTTAAATGATAGGCCTAAGAAATCACCTGAGGAATGGTTTGATCTGAGCAGAAAGAGCAGGGCAGGGGCAACAACTGTGTTCATTTGGTACCATATATCTGACTCTAAGGTAGCTGATATTTCTGCAGTAAAAAGAGGCTGCACTGGTTTCTTCCTGGGATGCCACAAGGATCACAGAGAAATGAGAGGGTGATGCAAATAGTCCAAAGGGGAGACAGCATTATCAGAAACACAACCTCATACAGTCGGGATGGTTAAAGAGGTTAATACCAGTAAAAGCCAACAATGTGGGTTCTGTTAGCACAAGCAAGCTGTATTGCATAGGGACTTCTTTTAATAAAACCAGCTGCAACCACAAATGAAGACAGGAAACACTACTTCAGTTATTCATTTCTCCTTCTCCCAAGATGCTATTATCTTGTTGAGCTGACCCAACTCACCATGTCCATAATCAGATGTCCACAAAGAAAACACCTGTCGGCAGACTGCTGGAAACCAGAGTACTGTGAAGGAAAGGGAAACAAAAGTTAAACCAAGGCTGGACAGATGAATCAGCCACGTCCCTACCAGAAATTTCTCAGAAAGATGTGTCACTTTGTGCAAATCGGTCATTTCCCCAAGTACAACAGTGCTGTGTGCTGAGTCATGGAATATCCTGTGCCACAAAACCCACTACAAATACAATGACGGTGTCTAGGCACCCACTCTGCCAGCTCTGTGTAAGAGCCTGAACATGGAGAAGTGTTAATCCTATCTCAACGGTTCTCAAAGAAGAGTTCCCTGGTATTACCTAGAAACTTGCAGGAAATGCAAATTCTTAGTTTCCACTCCAAACCTACTGGATTGGAAACTCAAGTGGTGAGGCCTAGCAA